TCACTGCTGGGAAATTAAATGTAGGGGGAAAAAAAAAATTCACTTAGTGAGCAGCCCTGCCATCTTTTATTATGATTTCTTTGTAATTCCTCCCCAGTTTGCACAAAGCTAAGTGGCTGCTGCTGGTAGGGCCTGGGGTGATGTGAGGTCCTGAGTGCTGGTTCTGGGCTGGGGGGCTCAGGCTGCACTGGGGGCACCCGCTCAGCAGCAGCCCCTCTCTTACAGGGGCTGCAAAGCCAAGTTTAAAATGCAACATTTTTTTTTTTTTCAACTTGCAGGGTGGTGTTTTGCATGCCAGTTGTTCACTCTGAGTTGTGGAATGTTTTTATTCTTAATTTTTGTTTCCCTCTTCCTTCCAGCTCACCTTTTCTTATAAATGTTTGCTCAGGGAGGGAGTGTAGTAAAATTAACTGCAATGCCCAGAGGGCTGTCATACTCCTATCAGCCAAATTAACATTGTGGAGTACATCATTTCCGCAGGGTGGTTTCTTGCAGTGAAGTTGAATGGATGGAAGTGGGATTTTTCCACTTGACAAGTACCATTCTGGTAAGTGCAGGGTGGGAAGATCAAATGTGCAGAGAGGAAATCTTGGGTGAAGGAGCTTGTCTGGGTAACTGTGAGAATAGGAACGCCCTTATCCTGGTCCTTGTCTAGGGAAAGCGACTGGTGGGATGGGGATGGCTGTGAGTCATCTCCTGGGATGCTGCCCTGCTCTCCAGCACAGGATGGGCTCACATCTGCAGCTGTCACCCAGCATCCCAGGGCTAGCTCAGACCTCATCTCCAGGTCCCTGTGGATAAGCAGATATCCCTCCTGGTGCAAAACCTGGCTTGCTGTGCTGCTGGCGTTGCTCGGCGTGGGTGCTTGGTCAGCCCCGGGCAGTGCGTGCTTTGCTGGAGCTGCTCTGCAGCTACGTTACACAGCCCAGCAGGAACATGAGCCAGAAGGATTTCCTGAAGATAAACAGTTCTAGGCCACACGTTGAGGATTTCTCTCCTGACTGGGTGGATTGCACTGATCCAGTATCCTGATATAACTATGCCTGTGGCCACAAGGATAAATCTGTTGGTTACCTTAGTATCTGGAGGTGAAAATACTCCAAGTGGGGTCTGTGGAGCAAGGGGTGAAGTAGGTGACTTCTCTCCTGCTACTCTCTGAAAATATTTATCTGCAGTACAGCTGATAGAAAATCACAGCTTTTACTTTTCGGAGTGGAAAATCAATCTAAACCAGCGTGAGTGAGTGGCATGGGGGAGACTGGGACCTTGGGTTAACCATTGCAGGGGCTGAGGGCACCCCGTGATGCTTGTGCAGGGCTCAGTCACCCCATGGTGCGGGTGGGAGCCTCAGCCATCTCCTGGATCTGCCCTCCTGTCCCTCCCGGTGGCTCTTATGGGAAGTAGGACAGCCTACAGCCTCCCTGGGGCAAAGCTTGGCCTGGGGGGATGTGGGTTGGGCAGGCCCTGGGTACTAGCCCTTGCTTCTGGGTTGCTGTGGTGATGCACACCCTGGCGGGGGGGTCTGCAGCCTCTGCCCCCGGCGGGTCAGCAGCTGGGCAGGGGGCTCACTTCCCAGAGGAAAGGGAGGAAACTGCTCTGGGAAATGGACTCCTGGCTGGTCAGCCAGCAGCCTGGCTCTGAAATGCTGGGAAAACTTAAAAAGGGGCAAAATGTAGGTAGCAGAGGTCAGAGTAATGTCTGGCTGAGCTGGGATGCATAACATAGTATTTAGGGGTTATTTTTTTGTTTCCATAACTGAAGAGCTCAGGCTTGGGGAAAACCAACAAATTATAGCTCTGCTGGCTGATGCAAGCATTGACAATTGCAAACTTGGAGGTTTTTTTTCCTGTTTGTTCTTTCTTTAATTTTTGCCAGGGCAAATCACTGCTCTGGAGAGCTTGCTGCCCTGCTGCCAACGAGCAGACATATGTGCACAGCTTGAGCTGGGGAAAGGACGGAGGAAGAGGTTTGGAGACGGGAAGACCTCGTTGTATTTGCTTTGTGACCTCTGCAAAACATTTGGCTCTTATTCAAAGTCCTTTTTCTGTTCTCGAGTCTGAAGTGTTCCTATGAGCCTTAATTTTATATGCCGGCAGCATGCTGGTCAAACTTTTCTTTTGGACTGCCAAAAATAAAAATATGCTGCTTGTATTTCAAGATGAGTGATGGTTTCATAACCCTGGCTGCCAACAGGGCAGGGAAAAAAGTGTTGAGGTCCTGAAAAATTCCAAAGTTCAGTGGTTATGTTTGAACAAGAGCAACAGATTTTCCCCAAAACAGCAGCACTGAAGTAATACTAACCCAATTGATATCTGCTGGCTTTGGTCTGGGTTTGGCTTTCTGCATTGTATATGAACCTGACTTTCTGCAAAGTGCTGCTGAACTGAAGCTGTGATTACAGACGATGTGGCATATTTGCTGGGAAGATGCAGTACTGCGTGATTTGGGTGTAGACTGCTTACGGATGGAGAAAGAAAAACACAACCAACCAAACCAAAGAAGCTCTTTTCGGCTGTCACCCCAGTACACGGCGCACCCCAAATCCGGGAGAGGGCTGGGCTCTCCTGGAAATTTATTATCTGGGGAAAAAGCTTCTTGTATTTCCTCTCTCCACCCTTCTTGAATCTTTCAAGTAGCCTTTTCCCCTGTTCTTCCCACCCTGCTGTGTCTGTCTGGTTTTATTGGTGGCTTTACTGGGCCAAGTCAGCTTTTCCAGGAAGCTCAGCCTGATTGGGTTCTGCTGTTCTCCAGCCCATCGTCCTCAGTGAAGGTGACCTTCCTGCAAGCCCATATGGTGAGGCAGCATGTCCTTGGGACAGGGTGGGGGCATGGGGACAGGTTCTGGCTGCAGCCATGTTGCTGGACACACCTCGACTTGCATTAAGGATGGTGTGATCTGGGTCTGTGATGCTCTGCTAGAGCATCTGCTGCTTTGTCATCTCCAGCAGGGACCAGGGACGAGGTCTAGGTGTTGAGCCCCCATCATGTGTTGACCACAGTTTTAAAAAAGTGTACTGGTCCTTTTTTCTATGGCTCCTCTTTTGCTCTTGCTTGTTCTGCTTGCTCTGGGGGCTCACATGCTTACCCCCTGCTGCCTCCCTCATCTTGGGGGCCCCAGCAGACACTCCTTGGTGGTCCTGTTTTCTCTCTGACTGAAATACCAGTAGGAGCTTCGGCATCAACAGAGGAAAAGGGATACTGTTTTAAATGTCAGCCTTGTTTTCCCAAGGTACCAGACTTCTCTCTTCTACTTAGGGATGAGCAGCAAAAGTCCTCTCCAGTGGGAAGCAAGCTCGGAGCTGTGCTAACCTTCAGCCCTTTCTCTTGGACCTATGGGCTCTTAGTATTTTAAAAGCAATGTTGGTTTTTTTCCCCAAGGACAGCACATGTTATCGACCTTTTCCAGCAGGTGTAGGGGAGAGCAGTGGGGTTGATCCCGATCGATCGAGTTCTCTCTGTAAATCAGAAGATCTGCCTAAAAATGTGGTCGGTGTGGGTAAGCATAGTCTGAGCTGCTAAATTATTAAGAGTTTTCTCAAAGCATTGCCTGTACTTGCATAGAAATGACTAAGAACAAAGAGTAATAGGAAAATTGGCAAGAAAAGTTTCAATTAAAAATATAGCGGTTGGACAGTGAGGTTGGTGTGCTGAGCAACTTTTTGAGACTGCCGGACGGTTTGGGGAGGTTATGGTAAATTTGAGGAAGCTTTTTAAACTTGTGGATGTGGGGGTTTTTTGGTTCTTCTGGGGATAAATGAAATGAGAGCTAGAACAGGCTGTTTTGGGAGGTGGTGTTATTTTTGCAGGCTTTTTTTGTAAACCAGGTCATCTTCTTTACTACTTTTATGATAAATGGAACAATACAGGAGTGACTAGACTTTAAACTATTCATGAGATCTAAGCTAAGTAATGTGATTTAATCTTTCTTCTGCATATATTGAATATAAGCTGTGATTTCATTCAAATGTTTGAGCTTTGTACTTGTACCATATAATTTTCTCTAGTTTTAGCAGATGGGGTTTTTGTTTAAAAAAATGCCTGTGGTTTTTATTAGATCTCTTTTCTATGAGTTATTTGTTTTTACTTTGTGGCTTAAAGATATCTTCAGCAAACATGGAAGGAGTTTCTTTTGATTAGTAAGTTCTGCTTTAGGTGCTTTCTGAAACTATAGTAAACCAAATGGTGGGTTGTTTCTTTTTTTGCCACTTTTTGTTTTAATGGAAATGGGGCCAGCAGGTAGCACAGACACTTGTTTTCCATATGGGGGGATATAATTAAACACTGTGTTTTGCAGCTGCCCTAGAAGTAGCCCACTTAGAGTGGCTCCTTGTCAACGGCGGCTGCGGAGCACAGGTTCACCTCTCCTGTTGAACTCAGTCTAACTCCATTAATTTTTACCCAGGCTTGCTAATTTTTATCCAGGTTTGCATTATTGAGTGCTGACTGGGTTGTGTACAGGGTGCTGTGGTGGATTCCCAGAAATTTGGGAGGGTGGATGGAGCCTCTCCAAAAGGCAGGCAGGAGCTGTTGTGCAGGGGCAGGACATCTTTGTGGGAGATGGGCACAGATGGAAAGAGGCACAAAGGGAGCCTTGCTCCAAACTCAGGAAAATAATTTGGGGAGTGCTGTGGGCTGCAAATTTAATTCTGCCATCTCTGAGTAATGCTCAAGTCGTAAATGATGTTGGATCATTAGTTGCATCCATGGACTTTTTTAACCCTGGTCTAAGACCTTCAAATCATACCCATTCCCAACTCTTCAAAGAAAAGTTTATAGCAAAATGCCAAGCCTCAGCTGTCCTTCCATGGGCGTATTGATATGTGTAGATGGGCTTTTAAAATTTGGATGACATAAGGAAATAGCCATTATCCTTGATGCCTTCTTTTCAGAACTGCTGCTTCTGGCCATAAGCAGGCTTTTTGCAAAGTTAAAAGTACAGGGAGGTTGGATTACATCAAAATATGTAACAAATACATTCTGCATCTAAATTTCTCTATGACATGAGGAAGGCTGTACTGCAGCAGCAGTGCTTTGCCCTGCCGTGCGTGCAGCAGAGCGTGTGTGCCTGCATCGGCGACAACGATGCGGTTATTTATTACTGCAGCCTGGGCACCTGGTCCTGCCCAAGGTGGAAAGATAGATAGTGAGCTGCCAACTCAGAAAGATGTTCCTGGCAGAACAGCTTCGCTAGCCGCATCTTTATCTCCTGTGATTTGTGTTTGGCTCTCTGGCTGTTATCTTCCAACTGAGCTTCTTCAGGAGAAATCTGGTTTGGATGCTCTGCTGAAAGATTGACTTGCTGATGGTCTTGGGTAGATGCTGGGGAAGCAGGGCAGGAGCCCTGAACTGAAGCATGAGACACCTGCATCTTTGGGGCTGGTCTTTGAGTGATGCAAACAGGATAGTGACTTGTCTCAAAAACAGCTTCTGTGCTCCTTCCTCTCATTCCTGGGGTGTACAGTGTTCCTGGGGGTGCTGCTTTGTGCCTGTCAGCTGCTGGGAGCTCTTCTGAGTTGTTGGGGTGTGGTGCAGCAGAGAGAGGACTGAGGTCACCTACCAGCATCCCCAAATCCTTGTGGCTTGGTGGGGAGATGCAGTGTGGCTCCCCACTGAGGGATCTGGAGGCCATGGGCAGTCTGACACTGCTGATCCCTACAGATAGCTCTGGTTCTCCCAGCACTTGTGCAAACATCATGCCTTGGTCAGAGGGAGGTGATAAAGTGCACATGAGGGGAATGCAATTGTTTATTTTCTTAAATAATCCTTTTGGAAGGCTTGTCTCTAAACAGCAGAAGAAACTGGATTTTGCTTGCACCAGCTGACTCCGGTGCTGTGGACCATGGGCTTTATAAAACCCCACCAGACAACGAGGCAGCTGATTGAATTGTATCCAAGTAATATTTTCTTTTTCTTTGCCATCAGAATTAAAATTTTTGATGGAAGATGATTGGGAAAAATTGTCTAAATCCTCCCTGCTAATTTGCATATTTTAAAATTTTCCCAGAAGCCTGACAGTTACTCCCTAAATCTTTCAAGTCTCCAGCGAGAGCCATTATTAAGACTTAGCAATCTATTAGCAACCCGGTGAGCCGTTTGAGGTGAGCTTGTCAAAATAAGAGCTTTTAATTGCCAGGCTGAGCCAATGCTTCTTGCTGCCAACGTCGTTGTGGTGTGTGCTCATTTTCTGGAGGTGGAAAAAGTGGAGGGATGTGGCGTGAAGCCCTTCTAGCTGCTCGCATGTCTGTGTGATGGTATGACACTGGGGTGGTTGAGGTGAGTGGGAAATGAAATGTCGTGAGTGGTGGGAGTCTGTTTATGCCACATAGTGAGGACTTCTCCCTCTGCTGTCACCTCAGAGGACTCTGATCCACCATGGAGGGGGTTTCTGTTGTCTTTGTAGGAGACACTTCAAATAAAGTTGAGGGGTGAAAGCCCACCTAGGAGTTGGTGGTGATAACTTGGTGGAAGGGCAGAGTAGTGGGCTTGGTTAGCTAACACACCACACCTAGGGTTTGACTTCTCTTCACATGCTCCAGGTTTTCTATGGCTAACCATGGATAGTTTTGCAGAGTAAATACTTGTGTATATTTTTCCAGGAGTGCTTTAATGTGAGCTTTGTCACTTCTGTGCCAATGTGTGTGTCTGGAAAACCCTCACCCCTGCTCCTTCCCACAACTCTGCTGCAGCACAGGCAGGGGAAGCTCTCCCTGTGCTGGAGGGATGCTTGCCAGGCATGCCTGGCTCCAGCTCCTGCCCGGGGACATGATGGAGACTTCAGGCTTGGGGACAGTCTGTCTCTGCTTACATGTCATGGCAGTGCCAGGGTATGTGGCTTCTCGCTCCTCAGGCATGGGTTGGTGAGACCTGTGGCTGCCACCTCCATGGTGCAGCGGATACATCAGGAAACCTTTTTGGGTCTGGTTTCTAGTTCAGATGTTCTGTTTGTCAATGGCAGGCAGTGGTGGTGAGCCTGGCAGGGCGACCAGCCTGTGCCGGGGTGGTGGCATTCCCTTAGCTGGGAGGTCTGCCCCATCAGTGTTTGGGGAGCCTGGTGGAGGTGGGAGCAGCTACTGGAGTGTGGCTGCTGCTGGCTCTTTGTCCGGGCAGTGCAGGGACACGGCACAGGGGTGTGAGAAACTTTCTTCTAATCTAAGCATCTGCTGCTGGAAGTTTGAGGATGGCTATAGTGGGAGCAGTCATCACCCCAAACCGGGTTTAGGCATGGTGTAAAAACATTAATTAAAGATGCTGCAGGCATGGGTGGGGAGCAGGGGCAAGGGAGAGCTGGTGCTTCCTTTGGGCAGACCCTGCTCCTGGAGCAGCAGGAGTCATTCAGTTGACACTGCTTCAAGTACATAAATAAGTCTGGTTTAGATTATTTTAATTTTTTTTCCACACTTTCCCCAAGCAGCACTTTATCCCAGGCCTTGCTGTCTAATTGTGGTTGTTTTCAGAGCACCTTTACTCTAGGTGGGTTTTACTTGCAGCTTGACAAGCTGCCTGCAGCCAGCCCTTCAGGCAACCTGGATGCTGAGCCAGACCCAGGGCATGCCAGGAGCATCCACCTGTGGTGAGCTGAGCCCATGTCAGGCAGCTGACATGGGATAGGGATTTGGCATTTTTGGCATCTGACTTGGTGGGGTTTCCAAACAAACAAGCTCTAGGGTTGAGGATTAGTAAGACTATTAGAGTATGAACAGTATTTGCTGGGTTTTAGCAGACCTGCTGCCTGCTAATGCCCTTGAATCATGAAATGACAAATGTCTTCTCTGCTTATGTTTTAAAATCCAAAACCTTAACTCTAAGCCTCTAAACCTTAGTCTGCCCTAAGACAACCCTTTTTTCCCCCACTCCAGCTCCTCTTAATGGGCATTTTAAATTCACTTTATAATTTTAAGTTCAACCTTGCAAAAATGCTTCTTGGTGCCAGCTGGGTCTCCTCCCTTGGCTATAAGCATCTATGATAGGGATGCTTTATTATATGCAAGGTGGAACCTGGACAGAATGAAAAGCTGATTTTTAAACTACTGAACAGTTTTGTTTCTTTTGAAAATAGACTTTTCTGATCCGTTGAGGACCTTGCATCTGCTGGGCAGCCCGGAGCTGGAAGCTGATGGAAACGGAGTCCGCAGTGTTGTCCCATCCAGCCAAGAGCCTGCCCCAGGGCTGCAGACACTGGCAGTGACCTGCATTGCCTGTCTTGTCACAGGTTTCTAAGTGTTTTTAAATGAAGTTAGAGGAAGTTGGAAAATTCGGTATTTAAGAGTTACATTTAAGTGGAAGAGCAGTTACTTGCAGAATGTTCAGATACATTGTTTACTGTCTGTTATTTTAACACGATGTCCGTTGGATTGGGAGGATCTGTCTTTAATTTGCTGGGTGCTGTGACCTCCCTGGGAAGCCTGCAAGGGCTATGGGGATGGCTGGGTCTCTGCTAGAACCCCATGTTGCCAGTCACAAGCATCTTTCATGGCTTTGTGCAAGGGGTGCTCTCCTCCCACAGAGCTGCTCTGCTTTTCCTCTGAATTTATCCTGCTGCAATTCTCATCCTTTCCCTGCCTGCTGCAGAGCAGAGGGGCTATCATAGAGCCCCTATGACACCAGGTTATCATCCGCTTGTGACATCTTGTTCTGCTTTAAAATAAAACCCCAGTAAGACAAGCTGGCATCCGCAGCACCCTGCGTGCCTTTTTGAGGAGTTTGTGATGTGAAACTGTCTTCTTTGTTATTTCTGGTGTTGTCTGAGACTTTAAAATAGCAGAAGTACACTTTTTTGAAGCTAAATCCCGAGCTTGTGTGCAGCAGTGTGGTGGTGAGACATTTCAGGTGGACTTGAGGGTTTGACAGGAGAGCAAGTGTAGAGGAGGGTGCAGTTTCCATTGTCCTCTGTGGTGCCCTGGGGTAAAACCTGGAGCTGCTGTCAGAGCCTGAGGCTGAAGGAAAAGGCTTGCTGTGTGCAGGTAGGGCTCTCCTGGTTGGAACTAGGAAGAGATGTATCAAAGATAAATTATATTCCTAGTGGCTTGAAGTGCTTGATGAAGATATATTCTCCTTCAGGAAGGAAAAACTGCCTGGCAGTTGGTCGCAGGCTGCAAACACAGGCAGCAGATGGCCTGCATAGGGCAAAAGCATGGTGGACACAAGCAATGACCTGCCCTGGTCACTGGTGTAGGACAGCCTGTGGTTCTGGGGGTTGGTGGCTGAGCAGCGGTGGGGACATCAGGTTACAAGCTCAGAATTGCCTTGGTTTTCCTAAATGACCTTACATGTGCCTCTTTGTTCTCTGTGCTGGAGCAGATAAAGCAAACAGAACCTCAAAAATTCAGTTATTTCCAACAAACAGCTTGGTGCATTCAGAAGCTGGAAGCCATTAATCCAAATATCCACCTTTTTTCCAGCTAGAAACTAATTTTTCCCTTTCCTGGTTGCCCCGACAGTGTGCTGGGGAGGAGAAGCGGGTCGGTACACGCACAGTGGTGGTTGGGCACCGTCCAGTTTCGGAAACAGATGCATATGTGGCACAGAAGTTCTGCGACAACAGAATTGTCTCCTCCAAGGTGAGCTTGCTTCACTTTTCCAGGTGCATCATGCACATGCATTCCCTGCTTGTGCATTCACCCTCAGTTTATTTGGTGCTTGGTTTTGAAATTGAGAAACTTCCTATCAATCCCAGTGGGGGTGTGTACAAGTTCCTCTCTTCTAGACAGGATGAGAGCAAAGCACATGGACATGTTAGTTTTGTAGGATGTTTTTGTTTGGTGTTTTTTGTTGTTTTTTTAATGTTTTCTGACATTCCCTTTGGGAAGAGAGGACAGGTTAAGTCTAATACAGCATGAGACAACAACAACACAGATTTGCAAAAGAGCGTGGGGATTATTTTGTAAATGGACTGAAAAATAAGGTTCCCTTTTTTTTTTTATTCCATGGGTTTTTTCTCTCTTGAGAGGACAAAAATAACCATGCTCTGTTTATCCCTTTGGATGAAAGGGGAAACATTCATACGGTATTAATGCAGCTTTTGTTTCTGGTGGAAAACTGCGATGACACCCATCTGCCTTCTGCTTTTTTTCCATGACATTCATGAAGCTATTTCAAAAGATTTGAAGCCGATTCGAGTAAAATATCAAACAAGTGGCATCCCATATTGTCAACACAGCTGGATACATATTACACTGCTTAGGATTCATGATGCTCAGCATACACTTGGGCTTCAGTTTTACTGTACTTGAGCTCTAAAGGGGTTTCCCCTCTCCTTCCTTTTTTATACTGTTTGGATCTTACTTATTTTTGTATGTCTGTGCTCTCTGAGTTTATACTGGGGACAAGTTTAAGTCTAACCCTGTTTAACTTGTGTAGCATTCCCACTGACATTTCCTGGACATGTAAGAGTGTCCTTCAGGGAGGACACCTTCCTCTGTTTTGGTTCCCTCTCTGACAAATGGATCGTTTTAACACTGAATTTGAATTCATCCCTAATTTATTCTTGAATGTTATGTCCTTGCTCTTTTCTTCCATTTATAGTTGCTAGGCATGGAGTCTTCTTAGCTGAGCAGTCTTTTTTTATAGTTGTGGACATTGGCTGCTTATTATTCTTTGTTTATTCCAGGCAGACTGAAAGATCAGATATTAGACCCATTATTTTCCATGTTGTTCTTAAATTCCATGTTTTCCAAAGCAAATGATTCAGCAGCCTTCTTAAAATGATAATGAAGCAAAGCCTAATAACAAATTTGTATGGACAACATGGCTTTTTTTAACAGAAGAGCGATTCTAAGATTTTTTTTTTTTTTTAATTTGGGGGGGGAAAAAAAGAATATCTGCACTGTGCATTACCTCTTCATAAAATCATATCTCTCCAAATACCTATCCAGAAGTAGTTTTCTGAGGCAGATCCATTTTTTATTTTCTTTTACCCTTCACCATCTCCCAACTGTGTGATTTGGGCTATTTTGACAAAAGATAAATAGTTGCCTACTTTAAAGCAAAAAAACAAAAACCCACGTAACCATGACACACTTCCAAGGAGAGAGCTGGAGCTGGAAGCTGAAGCAGGAGCTTGGGGGCATCTTGGCATCCAGCTGCATCGTGCTCCCAGTTTTAAAGCAGTGACCTGGACCCTTGCCTGGAGCAGCCAGGACTGCTCAGACAGCTCACTGCAGTGCTCTTCACTGTGTTTAAGGCAAAACTCCTTTCCTATTTTGTGCAGATACTTCCCATTTCATAGCAAAAGTCCCCAGTAAGCCCCATGTCTCTGAGCCACTCTCTCTCCCCACAGTACACCCTTTGGAACTTCCTCCCGAAGAACCTATTTGAGCAGTTTAGAAGAATTGCCAACTTCTACTTCCTCATCATCTTCCTCGTGCAGGTAAGAACTTTGATGGCAAGGGTGGGTTGTATTTACATACTGATGGTAAGCGCAGCTTGAACAAGAATTGAGGATAAAAACTGACTCTGGTGTTTATAAGTGGTTGGTTGGGTTTTTTAACTGGAAGTTTTGTTACAATTCTGGCACACTGTCCAAGGCTTAATACAAATTAAAATATTTAGATCTGCCCGAGATGATGTTTGAATGACTGCTGAAACAATTAAAAAGCCATCTTAAACCTTTAACCCTTAAGATCAGTCAACTGGTGAAAATACATTTGATGCTAGTATTATGTCATCTTTATTACTTCTGCTGCATAACTGTATTTTCTCTGTATGGTATTTATGTATCTTAGTTATAGTGAGTTTCAAGTCAAGCAGGAGAGAGAGGCTGTACTCAATAAAACTCAGAAGATGAATAGGATGAGCTTGGGAATGTGAAGCTTCAGGTAGCTGCTCTACACAAAATACCAAATTTTATTCACTAGCAAACTTCTGCTCTGCTTTGTGGCTTTGGTTAAGGGCTAAATCCTGAGTGAGCCTGAATACTCATGTTCTGTTCTGTCAACCAAGAAAACAGGATGTCAACATATATTGGGCAAAGGGAATTTGGGGCAACCACTGCAGTGCATTTACTCACCTTTTAAATCCTGTACTCAGGCCTGGGGCTCTGCAGACAACCTGCTCTAGGGCTGAAAATAGGCATCAAAAACTACCCCAGCATATTAAATACACCATGTAGCTGCTGCAGTCAACCTGCTGCTAGGTGGCTTCTCAGGGGTTTTGTGGTTCAGGTCTGGGGTATCACCCTCTTCTAGGTCACGTATTTAAAAGATTAATGTCTAAAATGCTTTGTCCTTACAGTAAAGAGTTATGGCTTATAGTAATGTTGGTGGCTGCTGCAGAAACGGGATCCCAAGATCACGGCTGAGGATGGCTCCTCCTGGCAGTGTTACATGAAAGGCCAATTTACCCCGGCATCAGCTGGCTTGCCTCCATCTCTGGATTTCGCTGGCATTGCTCCATTTTGTCAGATTGAATTTGTAATTTGCCTTGAACTGAAGGGATGCCCTAGTGTCGGGATGTCCTTTTTGTGTAGTTGGCCATTTAGTGACACGGTGTATTACATTTTATCTATTGACCCTCTGGCCATGAAGAACATGGGATTTTCTTGATTATACTTAGAAAAACAGTTGCAGTTTAGCTGCTTACCCATTTTAGGCACAGGCATATGCAGATGAGAGAAGAACCTGGTTATTCCTCCTTGGTTTTATTCTGTGAGCACCTCTAAAATAAGGAAGCAACCCTCATGCTCTATTAGAGAAAAAACAAACCCAACCAAACAAAAACCAGCCTGTCAGCACTAATACACTTGTTGCTGTATAGAGTAACTGACTGCCCCTGGGTGCTTGTTGTTCTGGAGATGTCATTTGCCTTAAAGAAGCACTCAGGGCCACTCCATTTATCAAGGTATAACCCTTGGTATTTTAAATGTCATCTATTCTTTAAATGTTGGTGCTTTTATTTAAATTATTTTAAATTAATGGAATTGCCCTCTGTGCCGCATTAGGAGCGAAGTATCACAGTTCTTGGGGCATCTGCTCTACCTGCTACTGAAACCCTTTATCAAATGTCTGTTACTCTGACTGCAAATTCAGCTCTTGTTTTAGAGAGAGAAAGTACATGCATTAAGCATAAAACACCTATTAGTGCACTAACAGGGATACAAATTGCTGTTTCTTCAGTTCATCTTTTGCAACACTCAAAGGAAACTGCAAGTAGACTCCCAGTGGAAATGTCTGGCCTCTGGAGTAAGTGTAGTCCAAGTGTTTGTAGTCAGACCAAGCTGATGGCAGTAAGCTAATTTAGGAGGTGCCAGGAATGAAAAATGTCCCTTTTGATTGATGGACATGACTTCTGGATTGTGGAGATGACTTCTTCAGTCTCCTAAACAATGAGTTAGGAAGAAAGCTATGAAGTAACAGGAGGATTTTGTCACTTGTAAGTGGATCTAAATTAAGCTGTTGAAGTCCTTAAACAGCTCAAAAATAGCTTCAAAGGAGTCTGCCTTTGATGTTCCGGCTTACTGCTCATGTGTCCCTCGGCTTTCCACCAGCCACGAAGAGGAAGAGCAGTATCCAGCCATGGAATGTGCAGGGAGTGCAGTCTCCAAATACATAAATGAGTTGTTCCAGGGACTTCATCTAATATTTGTTTTCATACATGTATAATACAGTATTTGTGTGCACAGAAATCATATCATTTGTTTAAACAAATACATAAAACTGCATCTTGTCCAGCACAGAAAACTCCCGCTGGGCAACAGGAGGTCCTTTTCCTTCCCAACTAAAAGCCAAAGTTGCTCTTGTAATTCCCAAGATCTGTTGAATTTTTGCAAGATAACTCTTGGCTGATGGGCTTAAACTTCAATGATGCCACCCCAGCGAGTGGCCATCGCGTGTGCTGTGTGCATTGTGTCTGTGTGATACTTGGCACCATTTTTGCTTGACGCTGTTCCTCCAAAGTCTGGTTTCTACCAGACTTTCTGTTTGTAAGCATTTTACACCCATTTGAATGAGCTAGGGCTTTGTGTTCCTGGAAATATTTATTGTGTTTCTTGTTTTACCCTCATGCTGCTTAACTCATACACCACTTACATGCTGCAAGAAGCAGCCAGGTGTCTTCCACTTCAATATTTTCTGGCTCTTCTCTCTTTGGGTCTAACAGTGCGTGGTAAAATTGCAGTGTACAGCATTTCATAGTTTAAAACTTCCACGTAGCTTCCTCCCAGCTGATAAGAGCAGTCCTGTCCTTAACACAGCATTTTATGGGCAGCCTAAAACAACAAATATACAGAGGCTGCTGTTTGTGAGCGTGCCAGGGAAGCGCAAACAAGCGGAGGGAGACAAAGTCTCTTTGTGGGGGACACAAAGCCTTTCTGCTGAGCTTCCCTGTCCCTTTCGTCACAGCCCTCACCATCTGCCTCATGCTCCTGTCCTCTCTGGGCACAGCAGGAAAAATGGCCAATTTTATGTGCCCTGGTTTGGAAGATGGGGCAAGGGCATAGCTTGTCCTCCTCTTACATTATTTGCTCCCAGTTATGAACCTGTTTTGTCATTCTTATGCTTTGGGCCAAGTCATGATACAGTCCGAAGAAACAGCCGTTTCCCACAGCCTGAAGGTTTAATTAACGATAAAGGGCCTTGGTCTTTGCTGCAGTGCTGGCTCAAGTGCAGCACCAAGCTCAGGAAGGATCCAGCTATCCACCCCAAGGCCCTCATGCGGTTGCTGTGCTTAAATTGTTCTCAGAATTCCAAATCTGAGAGCTTAAAGACAAAGTGTAGATCTGTTTTAAATAAATATTCATGTTCTGCTCTGCACTGTGTTTCATAGGTAATTTCAGCTGATGCATGTTATTTTTAATCTCTGAGTGTCAGTGTTTCAAAACAAAAGGTACTGTCCTCCTCATAACCAGCCATGATTTAGGGTTCAGATGTGCCCTGTCTTTGCTGTCGAAGAGGAGAAATGGCCCTCCTGTGGCTCATTGAGAAATTAGGGTCTTTTTTACTTCATGCATTGCTGCTGCCTCTGCCCCATCCTCCTCCCCTGCCTTGGTCCTCTCAAGCACACCCCGTGGTGGGAGAAAGTTTGCTAGCATCTGCTCTTTTAGGTATCCAATCACCAGCAACCTATTCATCCAGGCTTTTGTTTCCCACTAGAGCAAGGTCAAATTTAGGTTTTAAGCTACTTCTGATAGGGCTTTTCCTACCTAAGAACATCCCATGGCCTTCGGGAGGCAGGTGGTGTAGTCGTCTTGAGATGGAAGAGAGCACTCCTGGGGATGCCTGTGCTGGTCCTTTTCATGTGCCTCTTCCTTCCGTCCCTCCTCTGCTGGGCTGTGACTTACACCCAGTGGGATGAGCACCCTTTCTCCTCCCCCATTACCAGAGTTTTTCTTTCTTCTGCTGCCTGAAAACCAGTTGTCAGCAGTACATTTTTTTCTCCTTTCTGCAGGTGATAGTGGACACCCCGACGAGCCCAGTGACCAGCGGCCTCCCACTCTTCTTTGTCATCACTGTCACAGCTATCAAACAGGTACAGGTGTCACTGTGGGGAGAGGAAGATGCTCTTTGGGATGTGTGGTGGAGAAAATAAGTGTGTATTTGAATAGACTCATAAATCACCAAAATGGGTTTCTGGGTTTGGTGAGCCCTTCTGCAAGTTGACACATATACTGGTGGTTTTTGAGAGGCTGGATGTTGAGTGTGGTTATTGTCGTCTCTCTTGTTTTGGCAATGTAGAACATCTCTATATGTACTGTTGTAAGCGAGCTGTGAGGGTCAGTAAAGGTTACCACTGTAGTTCTAGCTTTACTTGAATTTTTCTTCTCTTTTTAGAAATGTTCTCCAAGTCTTTGCAGGATGTAGGGATGTGCTCCAAATATAGCCCGCGCTCTGCTCCCTTGTTGGTAAATGGAAAGGACAGGTTCTGCTCAACCACTCAGCTAGTCCCAAAAATATGTAGTCCTCATCTTCTTGTGATGTTAAAAGCCCTTTTTCCTCCTGTTATACGCACATGTGCCATTTAAAGTTTCCTCTACAGAAGGACTGAATAATAGAAGTTTCTTCTGCAGGGGCCAGAAAGGGAGAGCTAGAGTAAAATCCATCTGCTTCAAAACTGAATGTTTTCTTCTTTCAGTAAAGTCTGAAGAGTTTCATCCTGCGTTACCATAGGAAAGAGTTTCAGGGTGCTAAGTGTATTATTCATATTATCAGCCTGTTCTTGCCAACACTGAGAATAATAGAAACATGTTACAGTAGTTTAGCTGCTTGTTGCATGCACTGCATATAGATTATTTTTGTGTCTTATTTTAATCTGTTCTGAATCTGTCAAATATGCATATGAAGTTTTTAAAATAAATTTATTCAGTCTGAGCTACTCTGATGTTTTGTCAGGCATGAAGGAGGTCTGAGGACTTCTTGATTTATTTATTTTTTTAAAATCTCTCCCTCTCTTTCCATCCCCACTCATCCTCTTTAATTAGTTTACTTGCTTTGCTACAAGTTTGTGTTGCCTGTATTTGTGTGCCTAGGGATACGAGGACTGGCTGAGGCACAGAGCTGACAATGAAGTGAACAAAAGCAATGTCTTCATTGTTGAAAATGCAAAGCAAGTGCAGAAGGAGAGTGAAAAAATCAAGGTAACTGTTAACAGAGCTCATGTGTGGTTATCACCGAAGCCAAGGGGTACACGAGGGTGTGTGTAGGGAGATGAGGGCAGGGGAGGAGGGATGTGCTGCAGTTGGAGCTGCCCCAGCATGCTCACTTTCAGACAAAGTGCTCCAAGAGCTGTTCCTGGTTAAGGAGTGAAGTTGCCTTTGTTCAATTGCTTTTGAAAAGCCGTCTCACAAAAGCTGTACTGGGGCTGACAAGGGACAGATCTGTCAGCATTTTGCACTTCTTCAGAACAGGCAGTCCTCTTCTATTTCTAACCCTCCCAAGGACAACCAGGGAAGTACACTTTGCTTTGATGTTAATTTATCACACCGCATTTCAGACAAGTACACTGTCTTGCTCCATCAAGATTTAGCAGAGAAATAAATACTAACTGTGCCATGTGGGTGCTGTGAGTTGGTGCTGGGCTGGATTGGCTCATCGGGCTGTGGAGTGATGCTCGGGGACCTGTGCACCCCTTGAGCCCTGATTTCCCTTTTAGCCAAGGTGATTTCATCTAGACTTTGAGAGAAGCTGAATCGGTAGCTGTCCAGTAACAACCAAGAGGCTTTTCATGTCAACGTTTCCTTTCTTCCAGGTTGGAGACATAGTAGAAGTGAAAGCAGATGAGACCTTCCCCTGTGACTTGATATTTTTGGCCTCGAGCAGCATTGACGGGACCTGTTATGTCACCACAGCAAGTCTCGATGGCGAGTCCAATTTCAAGGTGACGGGGATGGATTGGGGTGGCCTTCGGGAGCTGGTGCTCGGGGTACTCGGGTGCCTGGAGCTGCCACTGAAGTCGGTGCTTGCATGGCAGGGCGTGTGATTAACTGGAGGATGCTCCTGCAGAGCCCATCCCCGTGGCTGTATTTACAGCTCTGCCCTCTGTTCACTCCCAGTGCATCAGCACTGTAGTCCCCTGGGGATTGTTTGTTCTCTGTTTTGTCTCCAACAGCCATTTCTGTTGGCACTGGCCCAAACTGAAAATTGATCTTTATCAACACAGCTTCGGTGCCTTATTGCCCATTGTGGAGAGCATTAGTGCTTCCCTGCTCCAGCTGCACGTGGTGTGTCAGTAAAGCAGTGCCTGCGGCTGCTTCAGTGCCTTTTCCACTACCTGCCAATGTGCCTGTTCTTTAACTGAGCTTTTCCAGTGAGATCTGGGACTTTTTGAGGCAGTATGTCTAGATTAATTTGGGGAATTTTTCACCAGCTTGAAAAACCCCCACATTTCTGTTTTTTTCTTTTCTCTCCCTTTCCCTGAATCAAGCAGTGAAATTTAATACTGGTCTTGTTCAGGATGAATATCTCTTTCAGTTTATTTTCTTTCTTTATTCATCCCCCTCCTCTCTAAACTAAGGAAAGAAGCAGCAGTAACAGCAAAAAACTTACATACATCAGAAGACATGAACATTTGGTTGGGCTTGTGTTTGATAAATATTTATGCAGATACTATCAACTGCAGTAGTAAGACTGGAAGATCGTTTAAAATTACATGAGTCATTCCAGCACACTCTGAAGTCAGTGGGAATGCCATTGTTGATCTGATAGGTATTGTATGGGGTCCGTGCCTCGTCCGTATGGGTGGCTGTTAATCTGTACTGGAAATCTTGTGTAGAAGCTGTTACAGTGCTGGTGTACCACACTGGTTCCACTGATGGAGTGGAGCTTTGAAGTGGCTTGAGGCTAAAAATAGATAACCATGTTAAAAAGGCAATTGCTTATTCGTGTCAGGTGTATTATATGCATGAGTTCACCCAACTTCTGCGGAGTCTTGGCTCTTACTAACTTTTGAGCCTGCAAGTGCAATGCTGAATTTCTATATCAAGCACTGTGGTGTTTTTCCCTTGGTTTGTGGATTCCTGTAGGTGACTAGAAGCTGTCTTCTGTTTCTTGACAAGATGAAGATGAGTTTGAAGGGAAAGAGTAGAAAAGCAAGTGCTGTTTGGGGAAATAGGTCTGGCATTAGGAACCAGAGTTTGCTGCAGAAGGAAGGTGAGGGAAGGGTATACACAAAACCTCACTGCGCTGATAATCTGCTGCCTACCTGGTGGGGATTTTTCTGGTATTTGGGGCATGTCAGGTTGAGGTATGGGAAAGATCTCTGGCTAAGTGAAACCGGAGCAGAACTGTAAAAGGGATTTTGTCAGGACTCTGTCTTTGAAGCGCAAGTCTTCGGTAATACATTATCTGAAAGAACACGTATTTTCTAAATAAGCTAAGGGACCAAGGATGTAAAGATCATGGAATTGATTAGGAGGCAGCTTTGAAGTATTGCTCAGTAATTGCATGGTGTCCATGGTGACAGGAGCAGCACAAGGGTTGAGTTTGGTACTGGGCACTGCAGGAACGATTTTGAGTTGTGTTTCACAAAGGCTGTGATTTATACTAGAGATGCGTGTGTGTCTGTGTGTCTGCTTTCAAGATGAAAAGCCAGGCAGGTTACCAAAATGGCATGAAAGTGGGTATTTATATAATGTCATGACTACAGCATGTGTAACGTAACAGTTCCTCCCGGGATGCACAAGGAAGAGAACGCAAATATAAGGAGTGGAGGAAGCTTTTTAATGAATTTGTTTATGAAGATGGATTAAGGCAGCCTGCCGTGCAGCCCGCCGTGCCTTGGAACTTTGAGTAGCTCCTATAAATAGAGCCTGGAAGGCAGCGAGCGGATCCTTCGTGGGCTTTCCAGTTAATTGTGAGAGATGAACCTTTGCAGCAGCAGCTGCTAAAAATAGCTTGGAGTCTGCCAGTGCTCTGCCTGATCCCTGGGCGCTGGAGCTGGTGTCTAATTACCTTCAGGAGTGGGCAGGTGGGTGGTCCCCAGAAGCCCCTTCACCCTGGGGGTACTTGCAGCCTCCCCACCCCAGCAGGGGCAGCAGCAAGTCTCAAGGGAAAAAACAAAAGACACTCTGATTTTGGTGCATGCCTTACTGAAGAGCTACCCAACAACTCCTTCCTGCTATGGTTTCTCTTAAGCTTATTGACTTAGTTCGTTAGCTGAGAGATGCTTCGGCTGTTCTGTGGGAGCGGGACAAGGGCTCGGGTGACCTGCCAGGACTGATGAGCTTTTGCGTGGTGGTATTTTAAGTAACAGGGTGAAACGTGGGCAGTGTTGCTGGGGGCTCGTGGTGACGCTGCCTGTGTTTCTCTGCCCAGACTCACTACGCCGTGCGGGATACCACCGTGCTCTGTACAGACGAAGCCATCGACGCCCTCACTGCCACCATCGAGTGCGAACAGCCGCAGCCCGACCTCTACAAGTGAGTCTGCTGCTCCTGCCTATCCTGCCCTGTCACTGCCTGCTGTCATCTCCCTACATACACCTGAGCACCCTTGGTTAGGGGATCTTATAAATTACATCTCAGCAAAGCAAAGGGCGTTTTCTTTTCATCAGAGATGTTTCTTGAGGCAGTGATAAGCTGATGGGCTTCTTCCATACGAGGATGGCAAAGTTGACACCACGTTTCTTCAGGGCTTGGTTTCTTTGAAGCAAAACCTCTCTGGTACAACACTTGTCATGGTGTAATGAGCTATTTCTTATCAGCTCAGATGTAGTAATGGTCTGTATGCCTATTTGTAGTAATGGTCTGTAGGCCACTCTACCTCCCAAGTAAAATGCATTGGGCTGAATAACTTCCAGGAATAAGCGGTCTTTCTGGTTGAATCCCTTGAAGGAGGTTTGCTGGGTTTGTTGCACGCTGTAGTTGGGATGTGCTGGGGTGTGTAGGTGTGGTCAGATACTGCTGCTCCACTGATGGGTGGCAAATGGGGGCACCCTGGCCATGAGGGTGTGTGGCTTCTCCTTGTCTCGAGCACAGCCACCCCTCTGAAGCATTAAACTCTCAAATGCACTCATTTGCACATTTGCTTCCATCTCCTGTCAGTGACTTTAGTATGTTTGTGTTGGTCTCTATAATGTGTTTGTAATACACATTTCTCATATTTTTACTGCAGATTTGTTGGAAGAATTATCATCTATGGCAGTAACCAAGAGCCTGTAGCCAGGTTGGTTTTGCAGCTGTCTTGCTGGTCCTCCTCAAAGAGGTTGGACATCTACATCAGATTTCAAGGATCAGAACTTGTGCTGCTGCTGTTAGGGATGTCATCGTCCTTAGCATTTCATTGTTACATTAACCTCACCACTTAGTCCTTTCTGCCATCCTGTGAATTGTTTGAGCCCCTCTTGGGGAAGCAATGCAGGACCACCTAGTAGTGTCCTCCTGTGCTGATGGGAAACAAATTTACCAGGCAATTGCAAAATACTGTTATTCAAGGGAAAGCATAAACTTCAACATCAGTGTTTCAAGGGAAGAAATAAACAAATAACATTTATAAATCATCAAAACCAGACAGCTGTCACTGTTGTGGTGCTGGCTGTATTTCGTGCTCTGCTGGATCTACCTGGACCAGTTTAACATGCAAATCAAGTAATTGAATCTAAAGAGCATCTGTTTAGCTTTATAATCTATCGCTAGGTCTAAATTATAAAGCAGTTTGAATGTTCTTTGAGTAACAATGTTATAACTTCTTTTCCATTTAGGTCTTTGGGTCCTGAAAACCTGTTGCTGAAAGGTGCTACACTCAAAAATACCAAGAAGATTTATGGTGAACAATTATTATTATTGTTTATTTAAATAGTTTTGATAAATGATGACAAATGTAGATATTCATCACTAAATATGGAGAAGGAAAACACTTCTCCACAGCCTGTCTGCCTGGGCTCTACAGTTACATTTGGTATGCGAGCTGTTTGCAAAGTTGACAGGGTGAAATTAGGAGTTACTGGTTATATCTTTAGTGCTGCTGATCTGGGCAGGTTGTGTTAATACACCTGAGCAAGCTTTTCTTTTGCCTAAAATACAAAGAGCAGGGAGTTGTTCCCAAATCCTTTGCTGAAAACATGTGCTAGAATCAGAGTCCCAGACACTAGTGATTGAGGGTGATGGCTGTTATGGAAGACTGATCTTATTTCTGACTGTATGTGATCCATAGGCCCCTGTTTGGTGCTCTGAGATATATGCAGTTACGTTACTTAGCAGCCTTGGATGTTTCTGTAGTTGGACTGTCCTTGAGTAATGCCTCTTTCTTTAACTGGGATTCGAGTTTCATGTAACCACCGATGCCCCTTATGGCTAAGTGCAAGCTGGGTCCCTCTGGGGCTGCGAGTCCCTTATGAGCCCTGCTTTAATACCCTGTAGGAGTTGCAGTCTATACTGGAATGGAAACGAAAATGGCTTTGAACTACCAAGGGAAATCTCAGAAACGGTCTGCTGTAGAAAAGTGAGTATTTATAGTCGGCAAAAAATCGGTAAAAGCTGTTGGGTTTTTTTCTTGTGGATTACTTGTACAGAAATAATCCCCTAATCTGCTGCCTTTTGTTTCAGATGCTCTCTGTTTGCGTAGAAAATATGTGTATTTGGTTAAGCATATCTTACAAGAAGCTCCATCATTTAGTAGGTTTTTTATTTAAAAATGTTAAAATATATGAACTGACTGAATATCAGCACTGTCAAAAGCACTTGTTCTGTAATACCCTTAAAAGTAAGGAAGTCTTGTTCCTGCTTACTTGCATCATTTTCTATATAAAAATAGCTGCAAGAATTTAAAAAAATTAACCTATCTTTCAGATCTATCAACGCTTTCTTGATAGTGTATTTGTGCATCCTATTGAGCAAGGCTACTGTGTGCACGACTCTGAAATATGTCTGGCAGAGCAATCCATTTAATGATGAGCCTTGGTACAACGAAAAGACTAAAAAAGAAAGAGACACGTTCAAGGTAAGTGGATTTGTATTTCAGCACCTCCTCCACTTTTATTTATTCTGACAGTTTTATTTAATCTGATAGTGTCTGCTGCCAGCCCTGTGATCCCTGTTTGCTTGCTGAAAGTGCTGTCATTTCCGTTTGCGTTTCTCTCCTGCCTCTCTCATGCTTGTGCACTGCAGTGCTTGTTTGGAGTGGGGCAAAGCATAAATAACTATATATTATAGAAATGCAGCAGCCAATTTAACCTGGATCCTTATCTGAACTTAAGCTATCTTTCTGCTTTGAGTGGGTAAGCTTAAATTGAGGCCACGTCAACCGACTTCTTAAACTTGCTGAGATGTAGGCAGTCAAGCCTGAAAGAATGAGTGCAAGTGTGTAGAAATGGATTGTGTGATGGATTATTGAGTAGGACTTATAGGGACGTCACTGCATCAGTTCTACTGTTGCCATAGCTTGACTGGTCTCAAGCCACTCACTCCTTGTTTCTAGTTACTTGAGATCAGAATGAGGCTGTAGCAGTATACTCTTAAGAGTAGTATACTTGAATAAAACATCATTTAGGTCACTGAAGTAGTGATATGCATTATACCCTTGTAGATCTGCAGAAGATGGTGAGATTTTCTGCATCAAAGGAAAATGGAGTTTGACCCTGTATCTTAGCTGTGTTCATTTTCAGGTGGTTTTTGTTGTTGTTGTTGTTGTTCTATTTAACCTTAGAAAAAAAGCTGTCTAAAACCCCAGAGGCGTTGCTATAAACTGTCCCCAAGTTACACCTGAAGGGCCCAGACTGCATTGTCTTCTCTTTCCATTGCAGGTCTTGCGGATGTTCACGGACTTCTTGTCGTTTATGGTTCTCTTCAATTTTATTATCCCAGTCTCCATGTACGTTACAGTAGAGATGCAGAAGTTCTTGGGTTCCTTCTTCATCTCTTGGGACAAGGAAATGTATGATGAAGAAATAAAAGAGGGAGCATTGGTGAACACCTCAGACCTGAATGAAGAGCTTGGGCAGGTGAGAACATGTGCTTGGATGAAAATATCCTCCCTGATAGGAAGCCTTGTTGTGACAGTCCCTCGTAGTCCCCTCAGGGCAGAGCTTCAGTGGGTTTGGTGGCACTTTCCATTTAATATGATTCTACTCGCTCTGTGAAACAGATAAGGTTATAAATAGTGCATGAAAGAGCAGGAATTGGGTCATGACAATTGTTTCCATATTGGGGAATATCAGACGCAGCACTCTGCAAGTCAGGGTGGTTTGCTTTCACTGCTTCAATTAAAAATTAAAAATGCTCTGTCTCTTCGATGATTAATGAAAATGTCTGCTCAGTCATCTCTCTGAGCATGCAATGCCCGTGCAGCCACACTGCTGCTGGCTTTGCTGGGGAAATTAGACAGCTCAGGGTTCACTTTCTTATCTGCGCCACGAGAGACTGAATGGAGAGTATGTGTAGTGCCTCCTGCTTTTTATTTTGCTTTAAAATATATATATATATATATATATTTAGAGTAGTAATCACCTAATTTAAATAGAGCACCAAGATGAAAAATCCCCCCCCCCAAAGGAGGCAGCAGACCTGCAGCAGCTGCTATATAAGCACTATAGCAAAGGACCCAGTAAAGAGGATGAGGGGAAAACGAAGAGCTTGGAAACAGATTTTAAGTTTTCAGGAACTGCTTCCTGCCACCCCTGTGATGGGTTGAAAAACAAAGGAGCTGCTCTGAGGAGCAAAGTAGAACTACACAGTGGTGTAACTCCTGTGGGGCACCTGCATCTTTTTGGGGAGCCAGGTTAGGATAGCAGCCAAGGTGACACGGATGTACTAAAATGCCCCAGCCTCTTTGCTTTCAGGGGGCTCCTTCCTCGGTGCGTGGGGCAGGGGGTGCAGCGAGGAGGCCTGTCTGCTTGCTTCTAGGTGGAATACGTCTTCACGGACAAAACAGGGACCCTGACAGAGAACAGCATGGAGTTCATTGAGTGCTGCATAGATGGGCACAAGTACAAAGACTGCATTTCAGAGGTGGATGGCTTCTCTCAAACTGATGGACCCCTAAAATATTATGGCAAAGCAGAAAAGGTAATAAAACTGTGTGTTTGACTGTTAAGGTTTTGCGGTCAGCTCCTGGCTGGGTAAATACAGCAGAAGCTGGGAGGGTGTGTTGGTTTTTTGTTTTAAAAAATGTATATAGAAAAATCATAACCAAGTGCTGCGAGATGGGCTCAGTGCACGGCATTGAGCTGGTAACAAGCCTTCCCTCACTCCTGCCTAGAGTCGTGAGGAGCTGTTCCTGCGAGCCCTCTGCCTGTGCCACACCGTTCAGATCAAGGAAGCAGACCAGGTGGACGGGCTGATAGGACATCCAGAACGTAAAGACACCTATATCTCCTCTTCTCCAGATGAAATTGCTTTGGTGAAAGGCGCAGAAAAGTAAGAATATGAAGATGTTGGGTTTTTAATTTCCTCTTTGGTGGGAGGGAGGTGGGGGTTGTCTGAAGGTCATAGACCCCTGTCCCTGGTCAAGGCTGCAGCTCTCTGGGATGCACATTGTGATACCAATACTGGGCCTGACCTGCAGCCCTGTGAAGCCACGCAAGCCTGTGGGTTTAAAAGAGCGCTCTCTAGAAGGGGTGCTCTGCAGAGGGTCTTCTCAGCTTCTTGGGATGCTGTGGTTTGCATTTGCTGCTGAGAGCAGTCCTAAGGTGCTGCAGTGCCTGGCTGGGGCAGGGGCTTTTTTGTTGGAGGCCCCATGGCCAAGTGTTTTAATCCCCAAGAAATGGAGACCAGTTACCATGTGCATATTGCAGCCAAATTTATTCGTTGCTATGCAGTGGCAGAATGATAGGATGGGTTACTTTTATCAAATCCACATGTGAATCCTGCTGAAGATGCTCAAGGCCAGGTTGGATGGAACTTTGAGCAGCCTGATCTCGTGGAAGGTGTCCCTCCCCATGGCAGGGGGGTTGGAACTAGGGAATCTTTAAGATCCCCTCCAAGCCAAACTATTCTATGATTCTATGCTAATGCCAGCCCCTAGGTCTTAGGCAGAGGCTGTTGCAGCTGTATATACTTGCCTGTGGCTTGTAAATCTGGCAGAGACTCAGGACACCATATCCAGAGGCTCTCGGCATCTGTGTGCTGTGGTGCCCAGCTCCTTGGGTCAGGGAAACAGTGCCAGAACATCATAACAGGCTCTGTGTGGAGCAAGTAAACATCCAGCCAAGCTTTTTAGCTTGGGCTTGCTAACTTCTTTGCTCTTCTCTGCAGTACAGAAGGTGAAACAAGAACGTTGTTAATGTATAATATGTGCCAATGGATGTTTTCAATGTTGTTCTGTCCTTTTGTTTATTGACAGGTATGGTTTCACTTTTCTAGGACTTGAAAATGGTTTCATGAAAATACGAAATCAAAAGAATGAAACTGAAATGTAAGTGCTGCAGAGGCTGCTGAGGAACAGGGCTGCTAGTGCCATGATGGCTCTTGCCTGGCTTGATCAAGTTTGGTCAACGTGGCCAACCTGGCAAGGACAAAGCTGTTCCACGAGGGCTATCAGACCATGCTGACCCACCCAGAAACTCCTGTCCTTTTTACAGAGTGCAGCACAGCAAGGTGCAGGCTGAAAGGCTTGCTTGCAAAAATCTGCTGGTGATCTTAGTGATGTCTAGATTCAGGTCCCTTAAGTGCCTGCAGTCCCTTGCATGCATCCTTCATCCCTGCCCAGCTGTGCAGACGGCCCCTGAGATTCACAGGGTGGTTGCTGACCTTACAGACATCAGGATACTGTATGCCTAAATTGCGTGATATGTCTTTCTTCCCCTCCTGAGCTGAAAATAATTAGATTTTACTCTGTGCTGACAGCTTGGGGAACATCTGAGAATCACTGGCCTCATCCTAGCACTCCTCGAGAACTTGTCTTCACAAGCAAGTTTCACTTCTTATTCCCCTTTTGGTGAAACTTCTTATTATAGTGCCAGAGCTGATGTCACTGCCCACTTAGCCACTGCCCAGCTTGGGGGCTCGGTGCACTGGTGGGCATCCATGCCCTCAGCCCACACTCAAAGCAGCACTGGAGTGGGTTCTTTTACTCCATTTTCTTCTGCAGTAGCTGTAAAAAGTACACTTCCCAACAGATGCTGCCACTTGTAAGGTGTATTGATTTCTGCAGCTTGCTGTTAGTGATTTTCTGTCTGAAATAGTTATTTTTCTTTTACTGAGTCTGAGCTCCTTTTTTTTTTTTTTTTTTTAAAGGTACCAACTTCTGCATGTGTTGAACTTCGATCCTGTCCGTCGCCGTATGAGTGTCATTGTGAGAACCACCACGGGTACAGTTAAAATGCATTTCTGGACTCTCATACGTGTGTGCACATGTGTACAAATATAAAACGCATGCTCTTTCTTCCTGTAACCCAGAGAGGCTAAGCTGATAGGTTTTCTAAGCTGGTCTAATTAAATTCTATGCTGGGTCTGGTTAATAAAGTTAATCTTCTCCATAGCAGCCATTGGGGACCAGCAGCAGATAAAGGGAGGGGACAGAGATGGGGACAGTGACCCATGGAGAGTTCCCTGCTTGCCTTGTTCCAGCCTGGAGGTATGGGAGGGAAATGAGATCTTGCCCTGAGTGGGATGGGTTTTTATGGGGATGGCAGACAAAATCCAGAGATCACCATCCTTCTCAAATGTCAGTCCTGTAAGGTATAGAATGCTGGCTTTATCTTCCATGAAAAGGTTGCCAGGGCTTCTAAAATAGGAAAAAATAAACTGTTTTGTCCAGCCTTTTGCAGAAAGCTTGCACGGAGGCAGGTGGGGACACCTGATGTCCAGCCTGAGGTCAAACAAGGTTTTGCACAGGTTAGTGTAAGGCCACTTTTGGTAGACAGCCAGGCTTCTAGCAATTCCTTTTTCAGTCCTGTCAGATTTCCTCCTTATGCATCATTTCCTGACTGTTGAAGCTGTTCAGTCTTTCTACAGATTGTGAATGCTATAAACTATTTATAATTTGCTTTTAGGAAAGTTGCTTCTCTTTTGTAAAGGAGCAGACTCCTCTATTTTTCCAAGGGTGCAACAAGAAGAAATCCAACAAACAAAAGTCCATGTGGACCGCAATGCTATGGTGAGCATGCAGATGGAATTTGGCTGGCTCCTGGTGTCAGGAAAGCCTTATTCCAAAAATAGGGATGCGACCTTGCTTTGGAGGGAAGTGTTGAAAATCTGAGTGTCATTCTCACATTGTTTTGAAGCCAGGCTTCTTTCCTTTTCTGCTTCTTTGGCTTTCACCTTTATTTGACTTTTGATATATGGTCTCCATCACAGTTGTGTCCAAGCATCTCCCAAGCAAGTTAAAAATAGAAATAACAATAGCAGGCTCTTTGGGGGTAGAAGTGCCTGGTCCCACTGTCCCTGCTGGATGCACGCTCTCAGCTCTGGTCCTTCTCTTAGTTTCTCTCTGCTGTATTACAGGCATGTAACAAGCATAACCACAGTTACTCGGATGGAAAGAGGTTACTGTATTAAAAAAAAAAATCGGTCTTTTGACTCAAGCCAACAAATTGTCATTGCCATCAGGGTCAGTACTGACAGAAAGCATTGGTGGTGGAGAAAAACACTAACCCTGAAGTGAGGAGCTGTAGGAAATTTGGTTTTAGGGCACTTGTCCACTTTATTTTCTTTCCCTCCTCCTACCAGGATGGCTACCGAACGCTCTGCGTGGCATTCAAAGAACTAACTCAAAAGGAGTATGACAAAATTGACAGACAACTTAATGAAGCTAAGATGGCTTTGCAGGACAGGGAGGAAAAGATGGCGAAGGTTTTTGAAGACGCAGAAGCAGACATGCACTTGATAGGGGCTACTGCCGTAGAAGACAGGTAAAGAGGTCACCACCACTGTAGTACCTGCAGTTTCTTCTTGACGTTGCGTCGTGGCACTGACTCGCTGTGGTGGAACTGAGCAGCCAGCCAGATGGTAGAAGTGTCCAGGGCAATTACTCTGTGGCATAGTCCATTACACAGTGCCCTAGTTGCTAAAATTGGCTGGTATAGTAGGAATTAGATTTTATTAATGAAATTACAGAAGTACTCGCAGTCCTAGAGAGTGAATTAAGCGTGCGGTGTTAATTTGCACATCAAAACAAATCCAGTTCTATGTACGGTTATAGTAACTGCATTTGTAAATTAAACTCTTACTTCTAGATCTCACTGTATAAAGCAGTGATCTGGGGGGTTGGGGGGCTGCAAATAAAAATTCTGGATCGTTGACTTCTAATCCTTATTCCTGTGGCAGTGGTCTCTCCAGTATGGGGAAAATCAATTGACTTCTCTTGAGCTGGTATTTCCTACCTGCAAAATAAAGGGTTACATGGATTAAGTGTGGCCCACTGTGGAATGATGTTTTGCCTCTGCTTGCAGGCTGCAGGAGCAGTCGGCAGAGACAATCGAAGCTCTGCACGCAGCCGGCATGAAGGTTTGGGTGCTGACGGGAGACAAGATGGAAACTGCCAAATCCACCTGCTACGCCTGCAGGCTCTTCCAGACCAGCACTGAGCTGCTGGAGCTGACGGCAAAAATGGTGGGTGAGAGCGAAAGAAAGGAGGATCGGCTCCATGAGCTGCTGATGGAGTACCATAAAAAGCTGATTCAGGATGTTCCCAAAAACCGGGGAGGCCTGAAGAGGTAAGTGAGCAAGAGTACCCAGCCTGTTGTGTGTGTGTTTTGGATGAAGATGCAAAGTTTCATAGAGAAATAGGACTGTGTGGTGGCCCTGGGTACTCACTGCTCACAGACAGTGCAGCTGGGTCCTTTGCTTTGCTCCATCTCTATTAGTTGGTTTTGAACTTAATTACACAGTTCCCTGAGTGAAGGGCGTGTGTTAAATCCAAGCTTTTTAAGATTGCTAAGCCCCTCAAGAGGGATGGGAAGAAGATTAATACAAAAGCAATTTCTTTTCCACTAAGATGATACAAGCCTTCTTACAGGCTTGAAATAAAATCAGACTTTTTCTTGTTGTGTTGCAGAAGCTGGACGTTGAGTCAAGAGTATGGCCTGATAATAGATGGCTCAACGCTCTCACTGATACTCAACCCTTCTCAGGACTCCAGTCCTAGTAATTACAAAAACATATTTCTACAAATCTGCTTGAAGTGTACTGCCGTCCTCTGCTGCCGGATGGCTCCTTTGCAGAAAGCACAGGTATTTGCTCTACTTTTAATCTGACTGAAGCACATCATTGGGTGATGTGATGCACTTTGAATCCATTGGCTGGGATGTGACCTGATCATCTTAATCAGCTAGGACTTCTCCAGGCTACACCTAAGCCTCATCTGAGCTGCAGAGAGTGATAGAAACACGCAAGTCTTTCAAATCTGAATGCAAAAACTTTGTTTCATATGCTTGCAGGAAGCCACAAACCCAAGGCAATTAGAAATAAACAAAACTCTTTGTTGTTTTTTCCTTTCCAAACTTATCAAGTGGAGTCTGTGACTTTCCACGCCAGCTGATGATATCCAAGGCTGATAAGTGGAGTGTTTCTGCTCCTCTTCCCCAAGAGGGTTTCCTGCCCCCTGAAATGTGTGAGAGGTCCTATCTCTGGGAAAGCAGGGTCTGGGAGAAGGGAAGGGTGGGATGCTGCTCCCTGGGAGTTGTTTTTAGCTACTGTCCTTCAGCTCTGTGCAGCTGGATCTTGGCTTTTGCTCTGGTTGGTGACTGAGAAGGAAGTAACAAGGGGTTTTATTAACCTGAACTCTCCAGGATTTATTTTGCTGCTGTAGAAGCGTGGTTGTTTGTCTTGGGGCACTCTTGCAAGTGGGACAGTGTGGGGGTCTCTGGAGGTTTTTTAAACTGAATTTTTAGTTTCTGCTGATACCCTTTTTAAAAATCTTTTAGATTGTACGAATGGTGAAGAACACAAAAGGGAGCCCAATAACACTTTCCATAGGGGATGGTGCAAATGATGTTAGTATGATTTTGGAAGCACATGTTGGAATAGGTAAGACCCCTGGTAACCCACCTAAGACCTGTCTGCTGCTGTTGCTGGGGTTCACTGTTCAGGCACAGTCAGTATTTCTGATTGCACGTGGCTAAACTGATCCCACTGAAAAATGCAAAGTCTTTTCCTGCTTGCTTTGGAGCTGGGGTTTGATTCCAGATAAATGTTTGGGATGATCATATACTGGTCACCTTTGATACTACCACTGTCTTTATCAGTGATGAACTGCAGATTGTGTTCAAAATCTCTGTGGCCAAATTCAAGGTGGTGGTCAAAAAAACCACACAAGTAGCAAACTGATGTCCAGCAAACTGGGCAGTTGTTGCAAAGGCAGTGCAGTGAAAATATCAGACTTTAGGGCTAACTTGTTGCAGCTGCTAGTAACTCAACACTGGGGATCTGCACGTGTTTCCCAGGGGCTGATGCTCAGTTATGTTGTGTCTGCTCTGTCCATAGGACTGACATCAGGCTGGAAACTATCCTTTCTGCAGATTGGTGTCAGATACAGGAGTTACTGGAGATTTTTATAATGCCACTAAAGAAGGGTTGATGGAAGAGAAAGGGCAACCTCTTTATTTCAGGCTGTTGGAAATGCCACGGTGCCCTCTAATGAATGGGGTCCCAGTGCAGTTTGTTTGGATGTGGCTTTTCAGTGAACAAAACTATCTTTCTTGAGCTCGGCTCTGCAGGGATGTCTTGGAGGCTGAGCGTCTGCAGTGAAATAACTAGACTGTGGGAGATGTGTGCAAGCCTGTTGGGAAACCAATTCCTTATCTTTTATCAGGTTTGCTTAAATACTCTTCACCACACTCTCTTACATAGGAACTCAGACAGCAACCTAAATATAGCTTAAAAACTCCAGAGGCAGGTCTGAGTGTTGAGGAGCCAAAACCACGCTGAGTCTTGCAGCACATGAACGTTTTGCTCTCCTGGGGCTCTTGAGAGGGAAGTTTGGCCTTTGTTGTACCTTGAGATAGTGATGTGGACAAACCTGGTGGGTAGCATTGGTCCAGATTCCAGTCCCTTAGGGATTAACCCCTTGCCACGTTTCTGTCTCCAGGTATAAAAGGCAAAGAAGGACGGCAGGCTTCCAGAAACAGCGACTATGCTGTGCCAAAGTTTAAACATTTAAGAAAATTGCTACTAGCACATGGGCATTTATATTATGTGAGAATAGCACACCTTGTACAGTATTTCTTCTATAAGGTAAGGATGTGTGTGCAGCCTATTTCTTTCTTTATACTATGGATTTCTTTGACAATAGAAAACAATAGTAAACAAGAAAAAAAATGAACAGAATATTCTGTATTTCTCCATTACTCCATTTTCCTTCCCTAGAACAGGCCATGTCTCCTCCATGAGCCTGTCAATTGAAAACAGTGCTTACAGGGAAATATGAGCATGACTTTGTTCCAGTGTCTTCTGCAGATACTAACTGCTCACTGGACTAGTTTTGTGCTTGGTAGAAAGCAGTGCCCTAACTTGTCTGATATTGCAATATCGGATACTAGTGTCTGATAATGGAAAAAATTATTTGAATTTAGATTGAGAAGTCAAGCGCTTCCGTGCTAACTGGTTGTCTTTTGTTTCCCTAGAATCTTTGCTTCATTTTACCGCAGTTTTTATACCAGTTCTTCTGTGGATTCTCACAGCAGGTAACTTCCCTTAACGTGTCTATGAAGCCAGGATAAAAAGCAAGTGGCACAATGAGGCTTCCTAGCAGAGACTTGGCTTTCGGCGTCCTGTCCCTTCCTCACCTCACTTTAGAGGACAGTAGGAACCAGCCTTGTTGCTCAGCACTGTATCTAGAGCATAATATTTTTGAGACCCATAACTGAAATGAAAGAAAACCTGCTTTCTTTCCTGTCCCATCCACCACCCACAAACACAGATGGGCACCTTCCTGAAGTAATGAGAGAGGGTTTTAGCTGATTTGTTAGTACCTGATTTTGTTGCTTCTCCTTTTCTTTAAGAGAAAATCTTTCAAAGACTTCCTCATCTTTTCTCCTCTGCTGTCTCTCAAAGGGAAGAACAGTTTGTTCTTTTATGACAGCTTTAAAAAAAAAAAAAAGTCCATACTGTGTGTCATCAGAGCCTTGCTTAGTCCAAGTGAGCATCAGAGGGACAGATCTGTGTGATGAGTGGACTCGTGCTTGGAGAAGAGTTTTTGGCTTTTGGGTCAACTTACTGGCTTTTGTGTCTGGGCTCAAGTAACAGTAAGGAAGAGTAAACAATAGGAGATAATTCTCTGCTTGTCTTGGCAGAACCACTTTTTTTTTTCTAAAAAAAAAAAAGCCATAGTTACTCTAAAACAGTCTAGTCTTTAGGGAGTCACAGGAGACATCAAGTATATTAATAGAAATAGCAGCACAAGAGCAGCTACAGAAAAGCTGTGATAAGAGCTGTTTAATCACAGTTCTCTGGAGAATGAGCTAGAGACAAAAACCAGCCAGTTACAAAACTCCCCAGCGGTGGGAGCGGGGTTCTGGCCATGCAGGCTGCAGGTGCCTTGGCCCCTGGCATTGCACGGAGTGTGACCCCTATCAAATCAAACTAACCTGTGTGGCTATGACAGAGGGATGAATCCATAGGGTACGTATGGAAGCAAGGGCTGGAAACTTTTAATCTCTTCGTGGGGAGACTTTTGAAGTGGAATTTCTGTCTCATGTTACCCTTTCTTTCTCTTTCAAGCCACTGTACGATGCTGCTTATCTTACCATGTACAACATCTGCTTCACATCACTACCTATCCTGGCTTACAGCCTCCTGGAGCAGCATATCAACATCGACACGCTGACCTCAGACCCTCAGCTGTATATGTAAGTAGCACTGGACTGATAAAGCCTCTGCACAACTTGGTTACCCATGGTTTAAGTTCTGTTGGTCCAGGAGTGTAATCAGATGTCCCTGTCCCATGTCATGATGGGAAATACAGAAAAGGCTGTTTCTTCCCTGCTGGCTCTACTGCTGCTGCATTAGAGCTGAGCAATATCCTATTTACTGCTTATTTCTACTTATTTATGCTCCATAACAGTATCTGGTCTAGCAAATAGCACTGCTGTGTCTCAAAAAATAAACTGTAGGTGGAATTCTTCATCCATAAGAAAAATCAAGTTGTGAGTGTGGCCAGACCATTCATTCACGTTAGCTTTGAGCCAGGCAGCATGAGCCAAGCACGTGACAGAACGTGTAATGGATGGAGGGGAGATCTAGCTTTCAGGAGAAAAAAGATCCATTCATTTTCAGAAAGACGAATGTTCCTGAAGCCCAGCTCAGGCAGGTAGTTTCTCAGCTGGTCTAAATGGATATCCTCCCCCAGGCTTCCCCTCCACAGGCCAAATCCCCATATCAGAGCCTATTACGAGGGAACTCTGCTCTTTGATCCATGTGCTCAGAGTTTTCTGCCACGTTACCCAGGGAAAGGACAGTTTGAGGAGACTGTCTCTGCTTTGCTTGGTTGCAGTGGGGAGAGGCTCCAGCCTCCCACAGAAACTGAGATGCTTTCCACCTTCTTCCCACCCCTGCCCAGGCATATGTGCTTGGGTGCAGCCCTTCAGCAAGGACTAAGGAAGATGCTTTTCTGGGGAAGCCCCTGTTCATGTACTGTTGTTGCTAATTGTTGCCTGGCAGTAAGCTCAGTGCCAAGTTCACCCCTGTGGAGAGAGACCAGGTCAAGGCTGCTCTGGCCAGTGCCCTCTGCAAGCCCTGTTGCTGTCATATGATGCTCCTCAGCAGTGGAGGAGCTGTGTGTGTCAAAGCCATGCTAAGAGCCAAGAGCTGTGCTTTTGCAGGTACAACAAAGGGAATTAGCAGGTACCTAAAGATATTGTGTCAAAATTGCTTTAGGCATAGAAAAATTAGCAAATGCAACAAGGGCTGTAGGGCTAGGAAGGGAACATGGGTGCTTCTGAAATAACTACTTAGATTCCTGATTCATTATATCTCTGTGTTCCTCCACTCATATGGCAAAATGCCACCGCATGTATTTTAAAATAAATTGGTAATTGAGTATTTTGCAACATAGATCAATAACAGCAGGGCCCCGTGCATTTGCCTGGTGGGCTGTCTGATCTCTGGAGTCTGTCCATTGAGTGAAAACAGATTAATTGTGCAGTTAGATAGTTTTAGTTTGAATATTCATGACTCTGCATGTGCTGCTGAATGCAGAATGACTGCTGTGCCTTTGCTGTATGAAGTGCTGAGTTGCTGCAGTGCAGATCTTTAGTCAGGTGTTGTAAAAAGCCTGTTTACGATGAGCGCTGCAGGACATAAATGTGAATGCAAAACAGAGCTCGCAGTGAGGAAGTTGGTTATACTTTCTCTCCTTGCAATAAAACCCACTTACAGTCTGGTTTATCTGTGCTCCTTACTCATGCTCCAACTGCAGTACGTTAGAGCATTGTCACTGCATCATCGTGCATAGGATTCAGTAGGGCTTTGTTTTGGAAACTGCAGGTAGAGGAGCCCAGCACCACACTGGTTTGCCAGGTGATCTTGCTGAAAATAGTATTGCTTTTAATAGTTAGGAAGAAAAATTGGAAAATAATGGGGATTTTTGTTTTTGCCATAAACATGCTTTTATTCCCCCCCCCCCATTCCCTCCTGCCCTGATGGCTGCCCTCCACTCCTGGGCTTTGCCTGTGCTCGGTGCAGAGCTCTGCCCATAGTGCACCCATTTGCTGCTGCTGCCTTCATGCCAGATCTCATCCTATATTCAGCCAAGAGCCTCCTGCTACAACCCCCGTGTTAAAAACACCCACCGTACGATTCAGGAGGTTATTTTCAGCCTGTGCAGAAAAAAAAACCCCACACTTCCAGGAATGGGACTTGCAGCACTTTTCTCAAAGGAGGAGTTTGTGCATTCAGCAAAGAGGAAAACACACCACAGTTTGCTGCATCCCGTATGGCTGCTCTTTAGCATTGCCCTGGTTTTAAAATTTGGCAGTTAATGTCAAGTAGCACGGGTGGTGTAGGGGCTGCAGAGAGGCTCAGGATGGTGTTACAGCTGTCCACTTTTAATCCAGGTTACCTAGGCAAGGACAAAACAAATTAATATGCTGAACTGATGATTTCTCATGACCAGCAGCTGCATATGGTAAATGTTCGTGTCCTGTACGCTGGCACATATTTGTGTTTTATCTCCTTGTCCCCTACAATAAGGCTTTGCAGCTCATCCTAAACGTGGTGGTGATGTTCTTGTTCCTCTGTCTCTTGGCAGGAAGGTTTCAGATAATGCAATGCTGCAGTGGAGGCCGTTCCTGTACTGGACCTTTCTGGGCGCCTTTGAAGGACTTGTGTTTTTCTTTGGGGTTTATTTTCTTTTTCAAAATTCATCATTGGAAGATAACGGAAAGGTAATGCCACCAAAAAAAGAAAGATGATGAGTGTTTCTTCTGTGCACTGCTTCTTTTATATGCCTGGCAGGGAATATCTACACGCTTAATCTGTGTGGTGTGTCTCGAGTCTTGTCCGATGGTGTAGCCTGCTTATGGTGTGATTCTGCAGCAAATGCTTGAAATAAAATGTTTTCCAAATCTCCATGGAAACAGGACAGAGCTGGTTACACTCACTAGATAAAATAACTAGTCTTACACACAGTTTTATTCCAACCTGGTGAGCTTTGCACAGAGCTCTTCCACTCTTCTGCGTGGTCCCAGGCAGGATTGGCCCAATTGGCCCAATTGCATTGGCCCAAGGCAGGAGCAGTGTCCATCCTTTCCACCAGCACGATGTGTAAAATTTGGCACACGTTTGGCTGGTTACAAGCAACTGAATTAGCCCACCTTGATAAGATGCTGCTTGTTAGCGCAGACATGGTACAGGGCTGCTTGTGTGCTGCACCTGCTCTCGGCTACGATTTGCAGGGTGGGGAGGGCTGGTGCTGGAGTTTTGCTACCGTTTCGCAGCCAGCATAAGTTAGCGCCGCTGTCAGAATGAGCAGGCTGTTCTTCTTCTCCCTGCTGTCTGCTTGCTCGTGCCTCTTGCGTTGGGACAAGTGCTTGTATCGCCACATGAGTGAGGTGTGGGAGCTGCTCCGGGTTAACTTGTACAGAAAGGTGAGGGGTGGGGACAAGATAGAAATTTATTTTTCTTTTTTTTTTTTCTTTTTTTCTTTTTACTGGTTAACTTAGCAAAGCATCAGTGCAGTGTAGCTGCCACATGTGGTGGCCTGGGCCATCTCAGGACCCTTTCCCCAAGGGATTACACAGCACATTATCAGGTCTCAGCTGATGGAAAGCTTATTTACACCATCACTTGTGACCCTCAAAAAAACCTTAGATTTTTTTAGCGGCTAACACTTGGAGATAAGTTGATGAAATTTATGTATGTATATGCATACGTTGTACCAGTGCCAACATTTATGGCCCCAGCTATATGTAGTCAAGCTCTGGTATTGTAGATTCAGTGCTTTTCTGTATTTATATCCATTCTGGTTGTATTTGAATAAAACGTGAAGCACTGATAAGTTCTGCAAATGCCTTCAGAGGTCAAGTGTATGTGGCACTAAAATAAGATCTGTGGTTATGTCCTGTTTTGTAAACACTTATTCCTGTAAGAACTGCTACCAGCAATTGTTCATAATATCCATGTATGTTTGATTGACTCCTTTTTCGCTCCTATTGACTTTAATTTTTTGCATTTTTTGAAAACTTTTTACATTTCACTTTCTGTTTTAATGTATGCATTCAGATCTTGACAGCCTTTGGTAAGCATCCCTCCCATTCATTGCCGTCATTTGGATTTATATACAGTATCTGCTTTTCTTTGTTGTGCGTAGTCACTAGCATCTGCAAACCAAAACAGATGGAAAAATACCCATTGGTGCATTCTGCAAATGGGACTAAAACGTGATGATGAGCAGAGGTGTTGCAAGAAAGCAGAAACTGAGTAAATTACCAAGAAATCATGAAATACAGGTGGTCCAATGACTTGTATCCTTGATCGACATTGCTGTTAGTAGGAGGTTGTACCTGTCACCGTCCCAACTCTGGGTCACCCGTCTGTGTGGCACTGCATGGCACAGGGTAGCGTAGTGGGTGGCGAGTCATGCAGGGCACCCAGTGCCTCTCCGAGCATCAATCCCCGTAGCAGTCGCTCCATCCCATCCTTCCCCTCCGGTCCCTGCTTGCACCCCTGTCCTCACTGTTGTTTCTGTGCCTCTCCAAGGAGATGGACCCCAGACGCCTGTGGCAATGTAATGTGTTTTTCAGGTTTTCGGGAACTGGACCTTTGGGACGATTGTTTTCACCGTGCTGGTGTTCACCGTCACTCTGAAGGTTAGGATCTTCCTTCCTTTTTCAGCCACTTATTGCAGTTACTTTCCATTGCACATGTATGTGCTGTAAAATCAGGCAGTGAATGTGTTGAAGTGTGTATGAGTATGCTTCCCACCACCCTTAAATCTTCTCTCCCACAGAGGAAGAACTTGCTTATTGAACATTGTCCTTTGTGTATTCTGTGGTCTCTATTCCTGGCCTGTACGGGTCTATAATTGTTTGTTTGGGTTAAATTATTTTCCTATTTTTTGCCCTCTTCTGAGAACTCCAGTTGGTTATGGTTGACTTTCTCCACGCTTTCACCCCTTGGTGTTCAGTTCCAGCAAGAGGAGAGGAGTAATAGAGAACTTGGGTCTGTCCAGCTTGTTTCAGACACGACTAAGCACCAGAGGGATTACGAAAGCACATCTGTCAAATAATAATAGCAAATCTGCTTTGTTTTACAGAGCTTTCCAGAAAGAACGGTTTGCATAAGACCTTACAAAAGGTCTTTTATGTTTGGTTCAGGACAGCAGGTGGTGGCAGGAGGCAATTACAGTCCCTGTAACCTTTAGACATTTGTTTAGCATCGGTAGTTGCATCAAATTTATTCTATTAAAAAGTGTCAGTTACAATTAGAAATTCACTGTTTCCCTGTTGACATTATGCCAATTTGTAGATACTGAAAATATTTTCCCTGGTACACATATGCAGAGAGGTAGCTGTTTGGAGAACCTTTAACCTTAATGGGAAACCAGTCTGAAATTTCAAATATATACGATCAAATACACTCTACATCTAATGCCTGTTCTGTCTTTTCTTTTTTTATTCATGCAGCTAGCATTAGATACCCGATTCTGGACGTGGATGAACCACTTTGTGATTTGGGGCTCCCTTGCCTTCTATGTGTTTTTCTCGTTCTTTTGGGGAGGAGTCATTTGGCAAGTATCTTTACTTCTTTCCATGGTGTTTTCTTAAGGGAATGCCCAGCGCTGGCTTTGCAGGGGCATGGCTGCAGCATCCCCTCGTTTGGGCTATTCAGAGATTTATGGATGGCGAGGTGTGTGCAACCACACTCCTTTCTCTACTGGTGAGGGGAAGGGATGATCTCTCCATCCAACACCTACTAAAAATCAGGGCTGGAAGAGGGCTGTTGCATGATGAGCTGTGTTCGAGGAGGGCTGTCAGCCTACTGAAGGGATAGCCTGAAAGCACCATCCAGATGCACAGCTTTGGCAAGAGATGGTTTGCTTTTCTGCCTGCAGGGTCTTTTCTGGTGCCAAGGCCCTTATCTTCATTGGGAGGTTCCAGGGTAAATTTTTCAGGATCTCTTTGTGCTTGTGGATAGGAAAGGAAAAATTGGTGGTGGAAAGAAACCCAGTGGTACAGAAGGAAGGAACAGATGAGGCAGACGCAGGGAAAGAGGACCAGCACTCTGGGTCAGCTTAAGAGGGAGAAAGAAGCAGGAGAAAGCACAGATCCTGCTGCTGAAATCCTGGATCAGAGTAGAGAAATCCTCATAGATTTGTGACCAGGATTTGGGGTTTTATGTTTTGCAAAAGCAGGCAAGTAATAATACATTACAAATATTAATTTTCTAGTTCCCACACTGGAGTATGTGTTCATGTTGACGTTCACAGTATCTCCCATTTTACACTTTTGCTATCCCATGGGATTCTGCCGTGGCTTATTGGCTACATCCTTAACCCAGCAGCCTGCTAATCAAGATGTGGAACTGATTTAAATAGCTTAATTGGGGGTCACGGTCTTTGTTTAACTCTTAAGTGTTCCTAACCAACAGATTCAGATCTGCGATCTAGCCAGATCTCTACGCTGAAATATGTGAGTTTTCTGCTGGTGTGTTTAACTTGCATAGCTTGATATTTTTGAGTTAATGCTAAGCAACAACTGCTTTGGGATTCTTGTCATCATTTATTTATGAAGCATTTTTCACAAGCATCTGTCGGTTCCCTTCCATCATCAAGGGAGGGAGGAAGAGGCAAATAACCTGTTGGGATCAGGAGTCTCTGGATTTCCACTATCAAAAGCAAACCAGAAGTGATAGCAAAGTTCAAAGTTGAAATAAAACAATCTGTTTTTTGGTAGGGTGAATAATTTATCTTTCAGAGATGGTAGCAAAATTGGTGATAGTAGCAAATTCAAACCCTTCCCTGTCCCAAAATGAAACGGATATGGAGGATGTAAAATGCCTTGTGTAAGGTGACCCGACAGTCCTCCAGAACTAGTGCAGTACAAGGCAGGAGATGCATTGAGGAGAGAAGGATGGGCAGTTTGTTTCTGTGCAGGCTGTATCCATCTCCATCTGAAAGGGAGGCATTATTGCTAATAGTTTGATCTGAATCTGCCTTTAATTCTGACCTTCTTAGGAAATTCACGTTAACAAGAAATTGTGTCCTTTCTTTTTCAGGCCTTTCTTGAAGCAGCAAAGAATGTATTTTGTATTTGCCCATATGCTGACTTCTGTTTCCACGTGGCTGGCAATAGTTCTCCTGATCTTTATCAGCCTTTTCCCAGAAATTCTTCTAATAGTTTTAAAAAATATAAGAGAGAAAAATCATCAGGTAAGGAACAAGATGATGCATTACACAGTATTTTTAGGAAGACCTCTCTTAAGCACCAGATGAACCTATAACAGTACCACGTACAACTCACGTCTTGAGGAATGCTTTCTAGAGTCTCATCTTGCTCTTTCGCATGCCAGAAATGTCAAGAAGCTCATCTAAAAATACCGCCTAGATCTGTAGTGAGGAGAGACTCAACCCGTGCCTTTCCTTAGTTGCCTTCACTGGATGGAAACCTGCTGTCTCTTATAAAAAAGTACAGTAACCCTTTTCCAATCAAACCCACCATATTGTGTTCTAAAAAAAAAAGCTACTTCTTTTTATGTCAAAGAATGCACTTGTGATGTTCCCTTTGGGTATATCCTCAAGTGCTGGTGCAGGGGGAACAACAGGATCAGGTCTTGTCACGTCTGCCCACTTCCCCTTAATAACTGAGGGCTCATACCATGGCATGAGCCTGCAGTGTCTTAACTCTCCTCAGAAGCAGCTTGGTTTCTTAACAGCTTTCCTCTGCTGCTGAGGAGTAGAACTTGTTTTAGAAGTGTAAACCATCTCCTAAGTTTTCTTTGTCACTCCTGCAAATGGTGGATGCCAGCACTTCTGGGCTCACAACAGGCACTGTGCTGAGCCCTTCACCTGCCCCTTGCTCTCTGCTTACCCGGAGGTGCTGAACATCCCTGCAGCACCGTTCCCCTGGGCAGCCCAGCCCTTGCTCACCCCAGCCGTGCCTACACCGCTCCCTGCGCCTCCCCTCCCTCCTGCAGCCCCCCTTTTCCCCTGCAGCATCAGCGAGTCCTGTCTCAGGTCAGCACGCAGCCAATTGCCAGCCATGGCCTCTTGCCATCAGGTTTGCACATCCTTAGGCAGTTGTGGGGCACAGGCCAGCAGGGTGTGCATCGTGTGTCGTCCCCCCCCCTCCCCGCCAACACCCAGCAGATGCTGGCGTTCTGGGGGTTTGGGCCAGGGTGGCTCCCTGGCAGGTAGCTGGGGCTAGCCATCACTCTGCCTGGGAGCACGGCGGCAGAATTTGGCCAGCGCAGGGCTAGCAGCATGCAGAACTGACTTCTGCCCTGCCAGCCATGCCCTGGACCAGCACCATGGTGCTGGCAGACTAATGCCCAGCTGCTCTGACTGTGTCCCAGGAAACCATGGGATGAACTTCGAAATACTGAGGTTCAAAACAGACTTCTCTTCTGGAAGCTCTTTCATCCCAATGAGGTTTCAGTGCACCTTCCTCACCTGGGATAACTTGTTATCTATGGTCCTTAGTTAAAAATTATCTTGATTTAAACAAAAAAAGTATCCAGTGAAGTAGTAAAGGTTTTCCTCTCCTATTTGAAGTCCAAGTTTGGCACAGTATCACTGAGGTAAAACATGTATCTGCAAGCCAGAAAAAACCCACCCCAAACCATTAACATTGAAAGCAATAGAGATGGTAAAAGAAGCATTGTTGAATTCTTTGAGGCTCCATGGAATTTCTTCCAGTTAAGCACAATTTAATAGTTTCTAGCTTGACACCCCTATTGATGAACAGGCTGGGAGCGGGTTGCTCTCAGCTGCTGACATAGGGTGGTTTGAGGATGGTGACCTGGGAGTTTCCAAGCCCCAACTCACCTGAGAGGTGACCCACTTTTGCCTTCAGCTGTTGGCCAGAAGATCCATTCCCCCATGCAATACTTGCTTTCAAGAGTGCTTTTTATGTGTTAAAAACGGCTCTTGTGAAATCGTTTAGCAAAGTAAGTGTCAACTAGAAAAGTCTCTTCATATGTGCGTACCAAACTAAACACAGGCTGAGCCATATTTAAATGTACATTTTGAGCAAGAGCTTTATGAAATGCCTGAAGCAGACACCAGCTCTAGATGTCTGTATCAGCAGACACCAAAATCGGCCACCTAATTTATAAAGGTATCTAAGAACAGGTAGATGATTTCAAATCGAGACCCTTTTTGAAAATCCTGACCTTAATACTGGAAAAAAACCCAAACCATCAGTTTGCCAAGGGGAGCATTAAATGAAAATTAAGATTAGGGATGTTATTTAAGTGCCTGATACCCCACCTTGACAGCTGAGGGGAGGATGGACTGAGGCCATGTCGATGGGTGTTTGCCTTTGACCTTGATGGGGCTGGGTTTTACCCTGAGTTCCCTATAACACAATGCATTGCCTCTGCTCAGTCTTTATTAAATTTTCTATCTGGTAATGTTTTGTTGGTTTGGGGTTTTTTTAATTTTTTTAACTGCAAGGCGCATTTCTGTTTTCCTTGGTTTCTGCCTTTCTCTTTCTTGTATTGCAAGTTTCTGTCTTTTTGTGCTGTTGTGAACTAGGTAACGAAGCGCCTTCCTTCCTCAGGAACATCCACTATCTTCATGCTTTCTCAAACTTCCAGCAATCACAGCTTTTCTTGGAGTGAATAAGGTGATTTTCTGTCTGAGTCGCTATGTGTTGCTTGCTCTATTGCTTTTTTCCTTCTAATGCCTAACTCCTGAAAACCCCTCTTTAGATTTGCTCGCCTGGCAAACCCCTGCTTTTTCCC